ACCCCATCCCACTAACTGGACAAGCCCACCAAAGCCACTGACCACTTACCAAGACTTCACAATGGTTTGATGACTATGTGCAGGATGCTGATTTGAGCCTCTCCCAATTCTCTAATAACCTCACTGGAGGTTAACCAGGCAGGGCTCAATATATCTCTTCACCAGTGGCATAGTTTCTGATTGCATGTGACATCACCTATAGCACAGGGAGAAGAAAAAAACAAACGTAAGATGGAACAGTCAAGGTTTGAGATCCAGCCTTAATTTTATTTTTAACACCTTAGTCAGTTATCCAGCCAGCCACACCATGGATCTCAGATTTTAATCTTGCTAAGCATTCACACTAGCATCACAATTATATTATCTGGCAAAGGCAGTTGCAAGATCTACAATTTTTAGTAAGGATTCCTGCCCTCATTTTAAATGAGATAACCTGGGTACAGAGGTACCAATGATGACACCAAAGCGTTAGTACTCAGATGAGAACTCTCATGCTTATCTAAGTAGATTCCTTCAAATTCTTCCCCTCTTTAGACTTCAATATCACTATCTGTGAAAGGAGGTAAACTTGATCCCTTAGTGGCCTTTCTGTGTCTGGCAGTTAATGAACCTACATTCTTTAGTCCTGACCAAAACAGCCTGCAAAAGGTGAATGAAACCTTCATCTAGTCATCAGATGGCATCTGGTTTTCACACTGATAGGAAAAGGTTACAAAACTCTGACCTCTTGGACCAAGCCCCTATCACTTACAATCTCAACTCCCACCAGGACTCAGCTTACCTTAAGTGAAAAGGAACTGAACATTACCTGCTCCCTCACCTAGCTGCCTGAGTTATTAAAAGGACCACAAAAAGCTAGGCAGACCAGTGGCTAGGCCCCTACCTTCAAGAATCAACCACTGGAATAACTGGCTCTGAGTCATGAGACACAAACCAAAGACTATCAAGGAATCCTTTCCCTTTTTCTTTTTTTGAGACGGAGTCTTGCTCTGCCACCCAGGCTAGAGTGCGGTGGCCCAATCTCCACCTCCCAGGTTCAAGCGATTCTCCTGCCTCAGCCTCCCAAGTAGCTGGGATTACAGACTACCCCAAGGGCGCCAGGATAATTTTAGTATTTTTAGTAGAGATGGGGTTTCACCATCTTGGCTAGGCTGGTCTCGAACTCCTGACCTCATGATCCATCCGCCTTGGCCTCCCAAAATGCTGGGACTATAGGCCTGAGCCACCATACCCAGCCAAGGGGTCCTTTCTTTCTTTTTTTTTTTGAGACGGAGTCTCGCTCTGTCACCAGACTGGAGTGCAGTGGCACAACCTCCACTCACTGCAACCTCTGCCTCCCAGGTTCAAGTGATTCTCCTGCCTCAGCCTCCCTAGTAGCTGGGACTACAGGTGCACATCACCATGCCCAGCTAATTTTTGTATTTTTGGTAGAGACGGGGTTTCACCATGTTGGCCAGGATGGTCTTAATCCCTTGACCTCATGATCCACCCGCCTCAGCCTCCCAAAACTCTGGATTACAGACTTGAGCCACCACACTTGGCCAGGATCCTTTCTTTCTAAGGAAGCAGCCTACTGCCTGTAAGTTTCTCAGTCCCTAGCTACTTAGCATGAAAAGTAACCCAGAAATCTGGCAATTCAGGAATAGCCCAAAGCCCAGTTACTGTTATCATTATATGCTGGCAGCACTAGCATATACTGCTAAGTTTTCTGTTACTTACTCAGTGAAATGCAGGCAACCCTCAACTGAAACCCCTGGAAGACCCAAGGAGCAGCTACCCAGGACTTACCCACCAGCAAGAAAGTATCTGTCCTCTCATCTACTAGTGACCATGAGACCCAGGTAGAAAGTTCTCCCACCGTAGTTATGGAAGATTAGTGCTGCCTAGCTGAGAGGAGAGGGGAAGCAGGAGCCTTGATAGGCTTGAGCCATCTCTTTATTGGCACAACTAAGGCCACCATTTACTAGAGCAAGACCTGCATATTCATAAGCAGCTGCTGCCACTAGCAATTACTGTAGCTTTAAAGCCCAGAGGGACAAGGGTAGAAAAAGAACGTGTGGAGGGCCTAACTGGGAAATAAATGGTAAGTGTAAACACTGATCCAGAAAATGCTTGTACTAAGGAGCCAGGAATAGAGGGGTAGGTAGTAATTAGTGCCTTCCTCTGAAGACAGTGATCTTATTTCTACCATTCCCTTCCCCCACCCCACCCAGCTCTTTTCTGAACTAAATTTCTCCAGTTTCCAGGCCCCCTCGCCATCCCCATTTATTCTACTTTTGTTTGGGTCAACAATTTTAAAATGGAAATAGTTTCAATGTGTCTCTAACTTTGAAAGTCATAGATGAACACTGCAAAAAAAAAAAAAAAAAAAAAAATTCCAGAACTATATTAGGCAAAGAATGCAAAAATCAGCCAGAATCCCAGGAAAGTTTAACACTTGGGGTATGTTCTTCCAACAACTTTCATGTACATGCACAAACATGAATTCTTATTTTACAATGATTAGATGAAATCATACTATTGCTCTTTAGCCTGTTTTTAATTAATATACTGTATACAACTTTCCAAGTCAAATGTTTATCTACAAGATGTTTTATTTTTAATGGCTATGTTGTGCCATTACAACAAAATGTATTTAGCCAAATTCCTATTCTTGACTAGGTAAGTTTTTCCATTATTTAGCTGTTATGAACACCACGAAAATGTGCTCATATCTAAATCTTCTGTAATAATGTTAAACACATATTTGGGGGTATATCCCTATAAATGAATACAAACCTTACAGTGTAAGAGAATTACCAAGATCAGTAAAACAAGGTCTGTACCCTTGAGTTTAAATCAAAGGAGACAGACACAAACAGGTAACATTTAACATTATCATGTCCATGGACAAAGATAAACGAAATTTCATGGTGATTCCTAATTGAAACTGCAGCTCTTGCTAACAGAAAAGGCTGAAAGAATACTATTAGTAGCACAAGTTAAAAATCCATTTGCTAGAATTCCAAAGAATTATGCTAATGCTAAATATTGCCTCATTAGCATTTCAATATGACGTTGTTTTTTCTCCTTTAGCAAGCCTTAAAGGAAAGAAACAAGCAGAAGCTGCTCAGAAAACCACCTACCCCAAAGGCAGAGAACTGAGTAAGGTACAGGGCAGTATGACACTTGACCTAGACTTCCATCTTTCCTTCCCTCTACTATTTCCAGTAAACAACAGTGAGCTGGCCAGACACAGTGGCTCACGCCTGTAATCCCAGCACTTTGGGAGGCCAAGTCGGGTGGATGTTGAGGTCAGGAATTCAAAACCAGCCTGGTCAAGATGGTAAAACCGCATCTCTACTAAAAATGCAAAAATTAGCTGGGCGTGGTGGCAGGGGCCTGTAATCCCAGCTTCTTAGAAGGCTGAGGCAGAGAATTGCTTGAAGACAGGAGGCGGAGGTTGCAGTGAGCCAAGATCACGCCAATGCACTCCAACCTGGGTGACAGAGCAAGACTCTGTCTCAAAAAAAAAAAAAAAAAAAAAAAGCAGTGAGCTATGGCTATTTCCTTTCAGAAACAACATGGATTCTCTCCCCGAGACTCATTCCTGCACAGATCTGCTTACACATAGTTGAGATGTGCTGGTATTCATGCCGACTTAGAAGGTACAAATAAGAATGAAAAGAAACTTTTTCAGCACCATGATGGGTCAGATATAGATGACATTAACACGGATGACAGACGGATTTTTAAAACCAACTCAACAAAGATGAGTTAATGTGATAATGCAAACAGTCCTGAACCTTTTAGTAACATTTCAGTCATAGGCGCATATACAATGGTGGTTCCATAAGATGATAACACCAAATTTTTACTGTACCTTTTCTATGTTTAGATATACAAATACTTACCATTGTGTTCCAAATGCCTACAGTATTCAATACAGCAACATGCTGTACAGGTTTGTGGCCTAGGAGGAATAGGCTATATCATATAGCCTAGGCGTATAGTAAGCTATACCATCTAGGTTAGTGTAAGTACAGCCCTCTGTGATGCTCACACAATAAAATCACTTAATTACGCATTACTCAGAACACATCCTGTCTTTAAGCAACACACGACTGTATAATTAAATGTTAATTATAAAATCTAAGTGTTGGGTATATGGTTTTTCGCTGTACAGTTTTTTCAACTTTTCTGTATGTATGTTTGACAACTTTCACAACAAAATGTTGGGGAAAATCCAGCAAGCAGCTTTAAAAATATAGCTATAAGTCCTTTCCTTCATTATATTTTATTACTAGGATGATCCTATCCAACAAGATGAGCCTATTCAATGCTTCCTCCGTTTTGTTTTAGATTTAGCTTTCTCAAACATGACTTTGAGCTCTCCCACTTTTTAATGAAGTGAAATGAATCAAAATGTATTCATAGGTAGTTTACCAAGATAGTACATGTAAAGTTGGTGAGGCATAAGGGGAGGGGCTCTGGCTCACTACCTGCATACATCTAAATAAATTAATATTTTGGACACCCCACTTCTTCATTTAAAAATTACCATTAGGATCCTCTAAACATTTGCCTCAGCTTACCTTTCTGCCTTAGCCCACATTAAATCCTTATTTCCAATATTCTCATTGCAAAGAACTGTGCAGGAAGGAGGGGAGCAAGGGTGAAGGCACCAGAGCATGCTATGTTCACATGCTTCAAGTCTGAATATAATAAAAGTCATTTCTAGAATAGAGGTTCAAAGCTTGATGTTGAAGGATAGGGTATAACTGACTTGAGTGCAGGACCCTGGGGGAGGTCCTATAATCTCCTACTTTAAAACATGTCTTAGCTGGCTTATCTGTAAAAAGGAAAAAGACTTGTCACAAGTAATGACAAAGTAAATATGAATTATAAATATGAATTTCTGGTCTGGTAAATGGAATGAGGAATGAAACCATCACTGTTGTGTGATGATCCAGAGCAGGCACAGCAATCTTTTTCTATAAAGGCTTTGCAGGCCACAATGTCTCCGATATATTTAATGGCAAAAAACAGCAACTACTTTTGCACCAAACTAATAGCTACTTACTTAACTCTGCCATTGGGATGCCAAAATGGCCCCACATAAAACATTGATGAATGAACATGGCTGTGTTCCAGTATAGAACTGTATTTGCAAAAACAGGTAGCCCATGGGCAATAAAGTTTGCCCACCCCTGGTTT